CACCGCCTCCAGCGGGGACCGGCGCCCCGAGGGCTGGCCGGGCTATAAAGATTCCCTCCGCACAGGTTGCCACGAGAGTAGGCTGCTTGCCACGCACCTGCCCGGAGCCGACCCGCTGGGAGGGATCCTGCCCCACGTCAGGGTACCTCTCCTGAGGTGGCGGCAGCGGCTTCAGCCAGCTCCGTCTTCAGACAGAGACGGAGCGGAAATTAGAAAAAGCCTCCCGGAGGACGAGCAGGAGGGATGAGGACTTGCTCTGGTAACAGTGCCCCGTGGGAGGGCAGGGGCTGCCGGCGCCCTGGGGAGACCGATCCTCCCGGCCGTCTCTGCCCTGTCCCCGGGACCGTGGCTCCCAGGGGAGCCTCGCCAGCAGCTAGGCTGGATGGAGGGTGATGTAGGGTGAATAAACTGAGCTGCGCGGTTGCTAAGTGTTGTGTCTCTTGTTTTTTTCAAGCATGACGCGATGAGAACGCTTGGAAAAGACCTGAAGTGGAGCAGAAAGCACAGCCCACAGAGAGCGGCTAAGGTAAGGACAGGCACAGACGTTTGCGCTCCTTTGTACGCACTTGAACTGAGAGTTCCACTGCACGTTTCTGGGGGACAGAGGGAGAAAGGGAGGAAGGAGAGAAGGAAACTATGGAAAAATAAGTAAATTTGAAGGAAACCCCACAACATGTAATTTTTATTATTTTCTATTAATCCTTATGACACTTATTCAAGTTTAGCATCTGCAATGTCAGAAAAACACAAGTTATGGTCAATTGACATCTGTTTGGGGGAGGAAACAAAAACACCTTTGGGCTTCTTTCCTGGTACACTGGAAGAGTCACTTACTCTTTAAAACCAAAAGTTGCATGACCTGGTTTAAAGAGTTGTATAGATTTGCAGAGCTCTCTTCTCATTGGCACTGCAAACTCAGTTACCTGCATTTAGGGGGTGGTAGATGATAAAGGACACCACAAAGAACTCACGAGTACAGTAGCAACATAGGTAGGAAACGTATTAATCACAAAAGTAATTGCTGAACTGTTTTCAATAGGTAAAATCCAGGCAGCTTGTGTCTTAAGTTGACATGAATCACAAAAACAGGTAAGACTGTAATGTGCAAACTGATGGAGTGGGAAGTGAAAGTGTGGGTGGGATTGACCACACTGAAAAGAAGTGAGGCAGGAGATAAGCAGTATGCCATTAAATATGACAATATAGAAATGTAATTTCTAGCATGTTGAGAATGTTGCTTCAACATACGTATTTTATGTAAGTGACCCCTTAGGGAAAAGCCGTGCTGGTGAAGTGAGCAACGACTGAGCTCTGGGAGACAAAACTATGGGTTTGGTGGTGAAGGGGAACTAACAGCCAAAACTGACGAGAATTGTAACAGTCTGGCAGTGCATGTTAGCTGGCTGTTGTCCCTGATGTGTCCACAGCTGCTAGCTGCACTCCATATTGTTTCATTCAAAAGCATCACGGAAAACTCAGAGGTGGCCTCCTCTTGCTGTGGAACAAGAAGAACTCAATTAGCCAGTACTTTCTGTGGCTGCTAACAGCAGCAGCACTCAAGGAAGTAAATGTTTTATGTTTTGTTTTGTATCGAGTTAAGATTTATTTTGAGTGATTTAAGACCAATTTTGAAGGAACAAAGTGAAGGCTTCAAATGCAGTATTAATTTGCTTTATACAAAGTGACTACCTCAGTACCTCCCTTCCAGCATGACTTCAAAGGACTTTCAGTCAAAATGGATGTTGTTCCGTCAAAATGTTACCTCCATCCAGACTAAATTCATAAGCTTCAGTCCTGAAACCTTTGTTTGTTCTCCATCTGGGTGGCTGTAAATAGATGTATGCTATGGCTTCTAACCTACAGGTAAGTTGGACTATAGAGTAACCAATGATAATTGTAATGCCAAAATAAAATTTACTACACTGAGTTTGACTCTGGGCTCATCTAGACTAAGGGCAGGGTTGCAACGGCGGCCACAAATGAATGTCCCACAGACAAAAGGACTGAAGTAAGTGCATATGATACAAATTAACCAGTAGAGGTAACATACTATACTGGTATTTCAACAATTAAGACAAGAAACTGTTTGCAACACTATCCAGTTCCTTTTGGACAGCCTGGGAACTCCAGGCAGGGTTTATACTACTGCTCTCACTTGTATTGGTCTTCCTGAGTCAGACATTTACTTGTGACATTTATTTCTTGAAGCCACATACAACTTGAACTTGTATATATACATATATGAAACATGAACCTTAAAACAGGTGAATAATGCTGAATTTAGGTAAAAAATAAGGAATGTTTCTAGATGTATTATTTCAGGAGGCATCTCCCTCATAAGGACCCTGTGTCTGGCAGGCAGTGTATTGCTAGTTGACTGCTGTACCTAATGCAGCAGTCACTGCTGCACTGTCACCAGCTGCAGGGCTGGCTCACCGCTGTTTCAAGGCAATTCCTTTGGAAGGTGCTCGGATTCATGCAGGAATTCGTGATGGTGGTGCAGCTGTGTGTGATGGGATGGCAGTGTATGTTGGCTGCTTGAAATTCTGACAGCAGCTAACATGCAGCTGCTCTCTTTTCCCACATACCTTGGTCATCAAAATGGAGAGCTACTACTTTTGTATAAGAAATCTTCTTGCTTCTCTTGATTATTGCTTTCCTTGACTGCCAGGCAAATGCAAGTGTTATCTTGCATTTCCATTATTCTAACAACAGTGAGAATTTTTGATTGACTTAAACTCTGGTGTTCATCTACTTAGATACCAGATAAATATCTGGACGAGGTAAATAATAAAATATTTCAAAATTATTTAAGCTCTTGGGAGCTTTTTCCATCCAAAAGTGGCACAGTTAAAAATTTCACATGCATTTTAAACTTGATTTTAATTTTTTAAATTGTAATATTTGGCAGATATTACAATTTATTTAATTTATTTAAAATATTTCAAGGGCTGAGCAGCTTGATAGTTTCTTGAGAGGTATTTTTTGTTTGTTTGTTTTAAATTAAGTAATTAGAGCCCTCAATGGCTCAAAGTCACTTTCACTAACCTCCTAAATACTGTATCTGAAAAATAATTACCTTTCCATTATATGTGATTTTAAAAGTCAGCCTTAGAGTTTTTCCTCTCTCATTGCTGCTCTGAATAATTTAATTCATTAATATCAACACATTAAAACAACTGCACATAATCTTACCAACCACACAGTGTGAATAGGACATACCAGTATAATTGGAATAGTATAGTGGAATATACTATGAATAATCCACTAAATTCAAGTGAAATGTACTTGGGATAAGGGCTGGAAGCACATTGATGTTTTTGATTCATGTTACACTGCGAGCTTCTGTCAAACAAGCTGCCACAGCCAACAGAGTGTTAATTTTATTCTCCTCCTGGCACTTCAGCCATCTACAGAGTGCCCAAGAAAGTCTTTGTTGCCACTTGTTTTATCTCGGTGCTGCTGTATTTGCCTTGGACAGTGAAGAGAAAGAGCCCCAGTGCTGGTGAAGGTGTGCAGAGTCATGGCCATGCCCTCATTGTGTGTGGTGATTAGGCAGTGTATTGTTAGTTAGCTGCTCCTCAGGCACCAGCAACTGACTACACTGTCAGATTAGCACATCACTGTCGAGACAAGGATGTAAACGCTGCTGTTATAAATATCTCATAGTTCCCTAGCTGGTCCAGGACCTGCCTGGTTCCCTGATTGAATGGAGCTGCACTGGGTTATGCAGACTGAGTGAATGCAGGGTTTAAAACAAAGTGTGTAAGTGATTATAGAAGTAAATGTAGCTGTATTTCACGTGGTTATACAGCTACCCCAACTGGCTTATAAACAATCTGCTGAATTATGTAAATACTAAGTAACAGTTTCAGGTTTGAACCCTATGTGAGTATGTTTCTCCTACATCACTAAATGTTTGAAGGAACATTGATGTGTTGGCTCAGCAAAAAACTCTTTTTATTTGAATTTACAGGAACATGTACTACTGGTGATGGAAATGGATTTAGAACATTTTCTAAAGGTAACTTCAGATAAATGGTATTTGTTTGAGAAAATAAGGAATGTCAGACCTAAGGAGTGAAGGAAGCATAAGATGGGAATGAGAGGTTAGGATGAAAGATAAAATAGGTATCCTCAAATGGATATCAAATAACTTTAACACTCACAGACTGACCTTTGTTAAGCATCATAGGAGGGTAGTTTAATCTTAAACTGGAGGGATTATTCAAGAATCCAAGAAATAGGTTTAAATCTGTTTAAAATGTTGGAGTTTTTTACATGCTATATTTTAAATTAACTCTAAGTGGATATTTTTACAGACACGAATTAACACTACTTTCTTGGCTTTTGACTGTAGATAACTGTTTGTTTATACAACAGTATTCTGACTTTCAGTTTATTAATTTGCCTTTCAAGGTTTGTGTAGACTTGGCCATTAAAGATGCTTTATTTTTACCAGATAAGTAGTAAAATACTTTTAAGAAAGGTGTGATTAATTTATCAATGATCTGCCCTAAATATTATATTGGAAGAGCTGGCATGTCTCACGGTGTTTAATACAAACACACTTTTGAGTTTTTGTTAAGGAGGAATGTTAATTTTTTGAGGAATGTTAATTAACAGTAAATTTTGAAAAACTTGAACTGTGTGAAATCAGGACTGAATGGTACCTATACTGAAATTTCTTCAGAAGATGGTAGTAGTACATTGTGACTAAATAGTGGAATGGGAAGTTCCATGACTGTTTTCTCAGACAAAACCTTTTTTTTTTTCTAGGACTCTGGAGTGAATATGATTCAGGAGGCTGTGAGTTAAGTAATTCTGTCCACTTGTTTGCTAATATCACATGTTCTTTCTGAATACCAGGAGAGACACTTAATCTTAATGCTGGCATTGAGATATTCAAGATTGCACTGTGTCCTCTGAAAAACCATATGAGCTTTAGTGAGCAAGTCACAAACGAGGTGTACACATTTCCTTCCCTCCTGATCCCTTTCAAACAAGAAAATCACACCACACTGTTTATCTTGAGTGTTTTAAGGACCCAGGTGAGATTTCCCATATGCTGAGTAAGTCTCAGGCATTACCAGGACTAAAACAGGCATTTTTTTGGGTCTTCCACTAACTGCACCCAACATTTCTTTACACCTACTCTTTTTTTATTCAATGGTACAAAAAGAGCTTTGTCATTTTGCATGAACATGCATGCATGTTTTAGACTTGTACATTTTCAAGTTAAGATAACTACCTTTATGAGTAAAACCTTGTGTTCTGCTACTTAGTTCCATGGACTGTTGAGTGCTCCCAGCGAGGGGAGAGGAGCCATATCTCAATTCCTTTCCTGCTCCATCAAAACAGCGAAGACCTATGCCAAAAAACATGTTCCCACTACATGTCACACTGTACATGCAGGAGGAGACAGGAGGTAAATGCAGAACTTCAGCATAAATCAGGCACTGTCTTGACAGATTTGAAGAGGAATCTTTCGGGATAATGGCAAACAGTGCAGAGTCTGGTCTAAAACACCAGCAGCAGGCTTGTTTTGTCTAATGAGACTTTTACATAGTCCTTTACTGGGCTCTGAAATTTTAAGTGTATAAAATTGTCATGCATCAAGTTTGAATTCCTTTCCAAAAAGATGTTTGCCATTATTGAGAGTGCCTTTGTTTAATCTTCCACATCAGTACCTTTACTCAATCGTCATAGGTTATTTTTTGTGAAATTCTCAATGAATTCAATAAGTGAATGAAAAAAATCCTCTTTAAAAAAAAAAAAAATCACTCTAATTTCTCATCTTTTTTATACAGCTGAGTGGCTGTCTTTACTGTAAAATGTTTTGAAGCGCTTTAAGAACAGCATAATTCTACCCATTTTTTCATATAGAAAACTCTACTGAGACACTGTAAAATTGTGCTGTAAAACTGAATTGTAAAATAATCAAAATATGAAGCAAGCAAATAAACTTATTTTCTTTTTTTTTTTTTTGCTTCTTTTAATAATTTTGTTTTCTACTCACAATTTTTTTGCAACTGGCAGCTTCACAATTGAGCAGTCTTTCTTGAGAAGATATTGCAAAGCTGGTATCTTCAGTCATATTTGTGTCTAGAAACCATACTATGGATGTCTCTGGGTCCCATGTCTTTCAGAACAGGGCAATTATGTGTTAAAGGAATATAAAATCTGCTTGTTACTTGTAGATGGGGGAAAAACCCTGTGTAAATACTGAGTAATTTATTAATAAACTTTCTTTCTAACTATCTACCTGCTGGTGACAATTTTAATTTAATTTGCTACTGTCAGCAATTCAGAAAAAGGAATCATAAAGCTGTTATGCAAACAGGTGGTCCCTCCCTGCAAGGTACTGAGTGCCTTGCCACACCAGTAACCTCAGTTGTTCTTGAGGCCACGGCAGGAGCCAATCCAGAATTAATAGACAAATGGCAAACACCAATGCTAAAGAGTAGCAAAATCACCTGATGGTTCAGCTTCTAGCAACATTTCCCAGGGATGTAGAAAGGCTGTGTATACCCATGGTGTTGAATGGCTTTTTCAGAGGTCTTCTCTCTTCTTCATGATAATCTGCCTGATTAATGATATTACTTCTGGTTTGATGCTTTCTATTGGCTCTTCTGGTCTCCAGAATTTCACAACTTTGCCCTCAGGGCTGACAAGGTACTTCCAGAAATTCCATCGAGGCTCTTTCTTTGAAGAATCTGTAAGGATGAAATCAGATCATTTTAGTGACTTATACCTGGAATTATCTCCAGGCCCCACACTGTGTCTTTGACTAATTATGCTATTGACCATTTATGAAGTAATCCCACCGTATTTTTTGCTAGTAGTGTGGGCATAGATTTACTGATTGCTAATGATCTGAAAAGCTGGAACTCAGTGATGCTCCCCCCTTCCTGTGAAACTGTTTGAGAGTTCCTACTTTTACTATGCTTAACTTCCTAGGGAAGATGATACAAGGCCTGCATATTTATTCAGGGATCCCCAGTTTTATGTCAGTTTTGGGAAGTGAGATGGGAACAGGCAGTTGTACTGGTGATGGTTTAATTAGGCTGCTTTCACGAAAAGCTCCAGTAGATTTTGACTGGAGAACACGTGTTTGGTTGGGAGTGGTGCTGAACCCTAAACTGATTTATTGAAGTTTGGGGCCACACTTTCTCTGTAAGTGGACTAATTTTGCACTGGATTGTTGGACAGTGCTGTTGCCATCCTGTTGCTAGTAGTCACAGTCACCAAAGGGTGGTATGGTATGATGTTCAGCTTTCTGATTGTCAAAACAGTTACATGAAGAAAACAGGTACTTCAATTGAAAATGTACAGGAATTTAATGTGAAACACAGAAATGCAGGAAGAGAAAAACTTTGTTTCAGAATATTGAAGTAACGAATCTTCTTTCTCTTTGTGGGTGAACAGCATGTCAAATAAGAAAATGATGGGTAAAAATTGTTTTCTTTATAGGTATCAATGTTTTACTCTGATGGCAGGGATATGTAGAATCTGGATTCATCCCATAAGTGGGTGCCTTTGTGCTCTAGTCTCTTCTAGAAAAACTGAGAGAAAACACAGATGATTCCACTGGACATCTGGCAACACAGGGTGACAAAGTTACCTGAGGATTTTAGTAGCATAAGAGGAGGTAGGAATGAGCATTGTTACAATGACAATGGGGACCACTTAAATGACTGCTCAATAAAAACAATTTTTAAGTACACAGGAGGTATTATAGAGGATATGGCATGTAAGTGTTCTGGAAAATACTTCATTAAGATATTGAAAATAGTTCTCTGACAAGAGGCACTATGAGAGACTCTGAAGGCAAGGAGATGGAATACAGGTTTGGGCTTTCTGCTACTTTATCTTCTGGGTAAAATGCTGCGTTAGAAAAGGGTTATGTTTAAGCTATTTTTGACCTGGTCAAAGCTCAGGAAAATTCAGAGAGGCTTTTCAAGTGAGATCTTTGGTCAACTGAAAGGAGAGAACATTCCATTTTGCTCATGAGAATATGAGGTTGTAAGTCTGTAAATGCTCCCTGTATTCATACAGGATTTTGCAGGCTAGGCACTGAAGTTCGCATGACAAATTAATACAAATCAGTGGTTATATATAACTAGTATATGCAAACCTGCTTTACAATACAGTTTACATAAAGGTGGACATGGAACCTAGCTAAAAATCTCATCTGCATGTAGTTATATAAAATGTTCTAGTAACTTTATGAACCCTATAACTCCATTTTTGTCCATAAGAAAAGTTTTTGGTTTTTTTTTTTTTAAAATCACATACTTTGGAATAGGCAGGAGTTTCTAGCTCTAGCATTTCTAACAAAATGGATGTTCCTAGCTGGGCTGTTCAGAGAAGGCCAATTTTACAAGCAGTGAGGAGAGACTCTTTTTTTCAGGATACAATTATTTTCCCCATATTTTTGATATCCAGAATGAAAAGAGAGTAATTGTATGCTAAGTGCCTGTTTCTCTCCATACTTTGTGAAGACTTCAGTGTTTCCTGACAAAAACATGCAGCCTGGATTCAATGAGAGAACCACGGTCACAGACAGCTTAGATACATAAAATAAAACAGTTACCTATTAGAAATTTAAAGGCGGGATCTGCTTCTGATCCTAGGATCTTGATTTTGTGGAAAACAGGGAATGTTACTCCATAGTTTCCTTTGGCAAAAGATTCTATTTCCTGGCTTGAACCAGGCTCTGATTCTCCGAACTGGTTGCAGGGAAACGCCAGCACAGTGAAGTGGGAGGGACCAAACTCTCTGTGCAGTTCTTGTAGCGCGATGTAATTTTTGTCTGTGTATTGGCAGTAACTGGCCACGTTTACAACCAAAGTTGCCTTCAGAAAAATAAAGTTAGAATAGTAAGGGAAAAGCCTATAGATGTTTTAGAGGTCACAATTAAATCTTAAAATGTCATTTTTTATTATCACAATGGCTACTCTCAGAAAGCTAAAGGTAACCTGTCTGATCATCATTTCATTAAAACAGATAAAGATGAAAGCAACTGAAGATATTTACTTCCAAACAAGCTGCTGTAAAAATGTAGTAAACTAATAAACTTCATTTCACAGCTTTGTTTAAATATAAGCATTTTAAAAAGCAGATATTTAGGACATGCACTACAATCATATTTACTAGATAAAATTCCAAAATCTGAACCCAACATTTCTAACAAAGATTAAAACCCACCAATTTGCCTGTTTAGCTGTATTGATTTATGCTAAATAATATATTTTCTTGATTTACTAGATGTAATATTTGATTCCTGGAGCAAGCCTAGATAGAACAAATTTTCTCCAGTATGAAGAACAGGACTTTAGCACAAATCTCTGCCAAAAACTCCTGTAACCAAACCTTCTATTTACCTAGAAATGCACATATTTTTGTCAGTATGGATTCAAAAAAGAAATAATAACTTACTTTTCCTCTGTATTTCTCCAATGAAATGATCCTTCCTCGTGAATCCTTGACTTCAAAAGAATAAAAATCTTTGATTTTAGGTTTAAAAAACCTTAGTTGCAGCAGGCAGAGAATGGTGGTGCACAAAAGCATTGACAGGAAGACAACAAAGACCCTGGTTTTGGGCACTGAGTACTTCAGAGGATAACTAGTTGTGAGAGGCTCCATTTTTGAAATCTTTGGAGAGGAGCCTGGACAGGCCTGGAATGTGAAGGAGGAGCTGAAACATGAGACTCTCAGCTGAAGCCGGAAAGAACACGCTGCTCATTTTTGTCCCTGTTGCAAAACAGCTGCTACGTTTCGGAGTGCCTGCTGGGCTTCTGGGCTCTCGTGTAAAGCATGGGGATCTCTCCGGGAGGGAAGGGAGGGGGAGAAGAAATGAGTGAAAAAGGTGTAACTATCACCTGAGGAGGCTGATTGAGCTGTGTGGGGATACTCCAGTGTGGGTCTGCGCTGTCTTGAGAGCTGCTGGGGACAAGAGCGGGTTTGTAGCGCAGCTCCAGCACACCCCCTGGGCCCCCCAGATGTATCTGGCCAAGGTGGTCAGCAGAAGGCAGCTGTGCTATCAGACAGACTTGGAAAAGCAGTCTGGGGGACAGCTGTTCAGGTAGGAAAGAGGGAATGGCTGAAAACACCCTGTTTACAAACTCAGCCCCGCATCTCATCAGCTGCTGTGGGGTCACTGGCAGCTATATAAAACTCTTTTCAGCACATGGAGCAGAGAAAAACTCCTTGTTAATAGGCTGTCATTAAGGAAGATAATATATAATGTGGATTCTTTTTGCAATGAGAGTGGGGATGATAATGGAAAATGGGTTGCTTTCTTAATTGCTGCTGGCTACCTGGCAACGAGCTGTACTGAGATGGTAAGATTGAAGGTCTGCATGAGAGAAGAGTTAGCTGATATAATGTGCGGGTTGTGGGTGGGCAGATGAAAATCCACGACTCATGAACCAGATGCCCATGAGACAAAACAGCCACGTTTATTGTGCAGATCTCATTTATACACTTGATTCAAAACTCCCGGGCTTAGATAGCTATTGGCTGGGATCTCTCTCCACCCAGATCTTTGGCTAGTGATGTGCTTCCTTCTCAGTTTGAGTGGGGCTGGCCAAGGGTCCCCTGTAACCCCTCTGGGACATGTTCAGCATGAACTAGGCTACCTGAATTAGATTTGTATTATGGTCAGATTTACCTTGTCCAGTCCAGGCCAGCTGTACTGTGACAATATTGTAACAAGCTGAGAGTCTCAGGTGTAAGCCATCCAGTGATGCTTTGCTGCTTATGAGTTTCTGCTTACTCTTTTCCTTCCTGGTACAAGCCACCATTGAAGAGTCATTTCTGCCTCTGTTGGTTTTCCATGTCACCTTGATTTTTTCCTGCACTTAGAGGATGCATTTTAAAGGCTGGAAACAGAAGGAGGTTTTTGGTATGTAAAACCTGAATCTGGTTGTTTCCTCCTTTTTAGTGACTTTAGTGTTGCTACCAGGGTCTTTGATTTGTACAATATCATAATGATATGTTCAACTCTTTCTACAATCTCTAAATAGCTAAAATCCATGTTCACTTTGTTTAACAAGACTATAGAGACAGTTTTCTATTGCTCTACTTAACAGAGAGATGCTTAAGAAACTGTGAAATTTCAGTATTTGTATCTGAGGACTTGTTTGACTTTGCCTGGCAGTGAGGCCTGTGAGCATGGTGTTTTGATAGTGGGGAAGAAAACACATGGATTTCTTTGCTGAAATGAACAAAGCTGTACTCAACAAGGAGGCACAGGTGACTAATCCTGACCTTAAAGGCAAGAACAAACGTGTTTGGTTACAGAAAATCCATGCAACATCCTGATGTTGAAGCTACATCTCAAGTGTTTGCAATTTGTGCCTAATATTATTTCAGAGCTAAGTAAAAAAAACCAAACAAACAAAATTTAATATGATACTGGCATACCTAATAATTACCCAGAAGCTCATTACATTATCTCTGTCTCCTTTTGTTACTCTCAACTAAAACCTTGCTCAAAAGCTGTTCTGAAAGACAAAATATGTTGTTTAATGTTGTCTGGGCTCTTACATTCTAAGTTGTGATAGTTTTTCAGGATTTATGGTTTTCTGACACAAATTGCTCTGTGAATGAATTTGAAAAAATGCAAACTAAAAAAACCCAACAAAACCAAACAATTTAATCTTTAGTTAGTATCCCTTAATATATTAAAAAAGTACAAGATAATGTTAAAAATAATGACACAAGTAAGCTGCAGTGGTGGTGAGAAAATTCAGACATCAGAAGAGGTCGAAGTTCTTTTCAGGTGGAGATCAGAGAACCTGCCTGGTTCCAGACAGACAAGTGGGTTTGCTCAGTGTCCCTCTCTCAGGAGCCCCCAGACCCCTAAACCTACGCTGCTATGTGGCTGGAGGTGCCTTGGGTCCTCAAAAGCCAGTGATGTACCTTTAGTGCATGAGTGATACAAAGTTAGTCAGTTCGTTAGTTAGTTCGTTCGTTGTTAGTTTTCCCTTTCCAGGCTTTCCGTGCCAGCGTTGATTCAGCTGTATTTATCTGAACAGAAACCTTTGTTTTGTACTATTTCCCCCGTGCGCGTTTGCCCGTCTGCCGGAGCCGTGCTCAGCCCAGCGCCCGCGGCTGTCTTCCTTAGGCTAGGGCACGGCAGAGCTGGAAGCAGCGCCAAGGGACGGGCTGACACCGAGCCCTGGCGGATCTGAGTGCTCGGTGTGCTGTCGGCGGGTCGGAGCGGGGTCGGAGCGGGGCCGGAGCGGGGCCGGAGCGGGGTCGGANATTTGTGAGAGGTGAGTGTCGGTGTTTGCCGTCTCCCGCTGCCGGGGCTCCGCAGCTGCTCAGGCTGCCCAGGCAGAGAAAGCTCCAGAACAGCATCCTCTCATTTCTTTTATTTATATCGAAATATTGGGGCAAGTCCAGAGGAGGGTAACCGAGCTGGTGATGGGTCTGGAGCACAAGTCCCGTGAGGAGCGGCTGAGAGAGCTGGGGGTTCTTTATTCTGGAAGAAAGGAAGCTCAGGGGTGGCCTTATCGCTCCCCAGCCTGAAAGGCAGCTGTGTTCAGGTGGAGGGCGGTCTCTTCTTCCAGGCAACCAGTGACAGGACAAGAGGAAATAGCCTCAAGCCATTAGGTTTAGGTTGGACATTATAAGGAATTTCCTCACAGAAATAATTAGACATTGTAATGGGCTGCCCAGGGCAGTGGTGGAGGTGTTTAAAGAAAGACTGGGCATGGCACTCAGTGCCACATTTTTGAATTGCCACGTATTGAAATGGTGGTGCTAGGTTATGGGCTGGACTCGATGATCTCTCTCAGAAGTCTTTTCTGACCCGATTGATTCTGTGATTTTTCTCACAGGAGCATGCTGCTGTCATGAAGAGAGGGCTGGGCCCACTGGTTCCCCTTCCCAGTGTGCAGACATCTTAGGGCAGCAGGTCATTCAGACAGCTGACCCTGAGTGTGGTGAAGGGAAAGAGGAAAAAACAGGTCTCATCCCTAGCCAAGCAATGCCTGTGGCAGACTAGCTGGCCTTTTTTTGCTCAGTGATGTGGGATACACGGGAATGTTTAAATTTTGTTGGACTGCAAGAGGGCATGGGGTCTGTACCAGCACCTTCACAGCTGGAAAAGTTATCAACAACTGACAGAAGGGCAGGAGAGCTCATACAGGCCTCTCTCATTCACTTTCTTCTGCCTGTCCTTTACTGTATGTGCAGCACCGGCAGATCCAGCTGTAGCTGCAGAACTGGGGTCGGTCTGCAGGCCTGGATTTGGTGTGTGTACACTCATGGAAGGAGGAGATTGCCTTGTTGTTCCCTCTCCAATGCCTCAGGCCTCATGTACTGATGAAGGGCATCCCCCAGGGGACACCCACACTACTCACCTTAGAAGAGATCTAGTGGAGAGCCATTCAGAGTGCCGATCAAACTTCCAGCACTCTGAATCAGTCTGCAGGAGAGATGATTCTAGGTGAGGCTGTTTCTCTCTGACAGCAACAGAGGGAGCTGATGAAACGTCAAATGAGTTTCAGAGTGCTGACTCCAGCTTCGAGCATTGCGAGGGGAAAGTGGGGAAGGGTTTGCATGCTGCGTGTCCACGAAGGGCTTCTGGGAACTTGACACAGTTGACTTACTGATTAATAATTGAAATATTTAGAAAACGAGTAAAAAATGCTCATAAGTGCTCTGGATATGTTCCTATTATTATGGCCAGAAAGTGCAACTCTATTTTCTACTAAGGAGAATACTAGAGCTTTTCGGTAATGCACACTCAGGTATAGGAAACTCTGGCTCTAAAACAGTCAAAAGTCTTTCCATCTTCAGTTTCTAGAACAGAAAGTTCTGCATGCTGCCTCTGCAAACAGTGATGAAAGCCTGTTGTCCTAGGAAATTAGATGTTAATTTTCTAACAAGCAGGATTCTCTGTAACAGAGAATTTATTTAGTCAATAAATCTAGGGCTGGACATGAGCTGTAAAAGTAAACAGGCATTCTTTATAAACAGAATGATCAAACTAATCTTGTTTAGACAGCTCTTTTAGATATCTCATTTAGACATTATTTTAGTTCTTAATATCTTATAAGTGATATAAAATGTATTTTATAAGATAAATAATGCTGTAGAAATGTCTCTTTTTCCTCACCGACAAAAGGAAAGGAGGATGACTGCTTTGAATACATGTCAGTATTGCACTGCCCTACTTAGTGTGCAGATCTGCTTTCTGAGTACTGCTCTTACACAATCAGTGCTATTCTAAAAAGTACTTGACTAATATTCCCATGCATGTTTTTAAAAGGAATTTTTTTCTATTAAAACTGTTTTTCCAGTAACACCTCAGAAATTGCCTAAGAAATTCTTCATCATGAAAACTACTCCACCTAGCAGTCATGCTGCAGCAGGTGTGGAAGGAAGAAACAGCAGGAGAGTTGAAACAGAAAAGTGAGAGGTGAGTTATGCCATATTCAAATGCACAGACAGGATATTTGCTATTCTGATTTTTTTTACCTTGTCTTTGGCCTGGAATCAGTTATGAGGATACTACCTTATCGACATGGATAACAGAAACATGAGAAGGTACATTTAGGAAGTGTCTGCTGGAGAAAAATCAGGAGTAATTTTTTTTGTCATTTATTTGATTCAGCTTTTCTCCTCTTTCTCTGGGCTACTATCCTGTAAACTAAAATCGAAACTAAACTCATGAAGCCCCTGAGATAGGTTTGTTACCTCTGAGGGAATGCATATATTGTAAGAAATATGCACGAAGAGCATGAATGACTCAGTTTGCCACTTGCTTTAATAAGCACTGTGTGTGAAGAAGTTCTGCAGGATGAAGCAGTTGATTTTTTCACACAGACAGAATGAGGTGCTATGAAAAAATTACCAAAGCGTTACCAAAAAGTACCTTTCTCAGAATATTGCTGTGCAAATAGGTGGTCAGATTTTGGTCAAGGTTGAAAGAACACAAGGAAATTGCTTAACATATGCAAAAAAAAAGACTTCAGAACACTTCCTGTTTAAGTGTTATTTTCTATTGCTGTACATTTTATCAGTTTATGCTTCATAGTGAACACTGGCACACCATTTTTTTTTTTCTTTTTTAGGCATTATCCATGTCTTTTGGACCATTAATCTATGCTTCAACTACCCATCTTCATTAGAGGTTTCTCTTCACTAGAAAATTGACTTCTTATGTGAAGCATTGGTACTTATGTTAGAAAATCTGTTACCATAATATGGCACTCAGAACCTCTTCTCTACTGCTATCTCTTTGTGACTGTTCCTATATTAAGTTACAACTTTTTATCCAGTGATTACAGTTTCTCCTGCTCTCTCTTTCCCAGGATTGCACCAGTTCCAAAGGTGCTATCAACATATTAATAGCTGTTTTCACATGATTTCTCTTTTGACCATAACTATTGAGTAATCCTGCTTCAGAAATGCATACCTAATGTCCTTTTAATAGCATCTTATAATCCTTAACTTAAATTGCTGAGAACTTTCTGTGAGGGTATTAAGGTGGAGTCCTTCTGACAAAAGGAGGTGATATCAGCATTGATGATGATGAACTAGGCTTGTTGTCTGATGCTTTGTAATAATGGTACTCATCTCTGGGTGTTGGAAAGAGACCACGCTTTTATACCATTCTGGGAAACCTGATTATTCTTGGGACAATCACTTAATTTTCTTAATAAAAAAACTAGTCTTAAAAATATTTTTTTCAACAGGAAAGAATGTTTTCTTTCTTCTCACTCCCCTCCATCAACTGATTGTAGAGTAAATTTTAGAACTCTTAAAATAAACAGCTCAATTGTTTTAATAGTCATAGGTCAATCTAGACAACAGAGAAATTGAATGTAACTGCCCTTTTTTGGTGAGATGATAAGCACTTTCTATTAAGAAATGTACAGAAAACATTTTTTTCTTATAATGGAGCATCTTTTACAAGATGGGACACTTAAATATCAACTAGTCCAAATCCCCTTCAATTAACAGGGACATTTTCAACTAGGTTAAGTTGCTCAGAGCCCTGTCCAAACCAGCATTGGATGTTTTCAGGGATGGGGCATCCACCACCTCTTCAGGCAACATACTACACTGCTTCACCACCCCATTGTAAAAAATCTTTTCCTTATATCTAGTATTAATCTCCCTTCCTTTAATTTAAAACCATTACCTCTTGGCCCATCATAACAAGCCCTGCTGAAATGTCTGTGCTTCTTTCTTATCAGCCTCCGTAAGTATTGAAAGTCTACAATAAGGAGTTCCCAGATTCTTCTCTCCTTCAGGCTGAGCAACCACATCTCTCTCACCCTGCCCTCAGAGAAGACTGCTCCAGCTTTCTGATCACTTTTGTGGGTCTGCTCTGGACCCACTCCAACAGGTTTTTCTTGAAGGCCCCAGCGTTGGACACAGCATTCCAGGTGGGATCTCACCAGAGAGGAACAGAGAGGCAGAATCACCTCCCTTAATTTGCTGGGCACTTGTTTTTTGTGCAGGATACAATTGGTTTTCTGGACTGTTAGTGCCCATTTCCAGCTCATGTCCAGCTCCTCATCCATTGGTGCCCCCAAATCCTTCTGGGCAGGGCTGCTCTCAATCTTTTCTTCCCCCAGCCTCTGTTGATACTGGAGGTTGCCCTGAGCCAGGTGCAGCACTTCGAACTTGGCCTTAGTGAACCTCATGAGGTTCATGTGGATTCTATGTAAATCTAGATTTATACTGTAAATTACAAGTTGAAGTTGAGTTAGAGCAAATGCATTCAGAGTTCTAGATCCAGGACTACAATATTTTCCTAAATTGTGATATGGGTATCTTTGCAATATATTGTGGTGTGACCAAAACCCAAGTTCTTCCTAAAACCATTTGAAAGTCAGTCCTGGCTAAACCCATACAAAAATCTACTTGTCTTCTCAGATATAGTAATAAATGACTATTTACTTTGTGCAGTCTGTCAGTATAAAGGAATGGGATCTCTTGAGAATAGAATCTTCTCACATACCAGTGGATGTGTGTGGTCCGTTTCTGGGCCAAAATATTACTTCTTTGTATACACAATCATTTTTCCATAGAAATGTCTGCACAGATTTTAGAGGGACACATATCCAAGCAATGTGATTAGCTTTCTGCCAAGCTGTCTGTATAAATCACACAGAAAATGCCTCTCAAAGCTGAAGGCCTGCTGTAGAACAGCTGGAACAACAGGATTTTGAGGAAGAGTAAAACAGACTGTGTGGTAGGGCAGACTTCACAGGCACTGGAGAGAAAGAATTCACTAATCTTGAGTGGCTGATTAAAACATCTACTGCAGTTCCACGTGGCTCTCTTTGGCCCGCATTTGATGCACTGGTAGCTCTGAAAAATTAATTTCCTTTCAGCTCTTCTGTTTCAGAGCGGTACAAACAGTATAGGGTTGTGCTGTGGAATGGGCAGAGGATATATGTTAAGTGGACAGTGGGTACATGAGGGTGCAGAGCATGCAGAGGTAGCGGAGTTTTTTAGCTCTTAACTGTAGGGAAAGGTCAAACTGTCCCTAGCACTGCTGCTGGTTTAGTCTGTGGGGTAGTTGATTATTTTACTACATAAAATATCCTATGAGTGAATGAGCATTAGGGAGTATGAATGATCAAGTGATTTGAAAACAGGGAGAATCTGGAGATAACCTGTGAAATTATACAGGCATTCCCATAGTTATCTGAGTGTGAGAAAGTTAATTAGATATCAGACTAATATTTTGGTGTCTTCTGACTTGAACAGATGATTTGTTTTGGTGCTCTAGCTATTTCTCTTTATGAATCTGGATTCCACCCCCTGCAGAAGAAGTTGGGGTTTATGTGAAAGATTTGTACTTTCATTGCCTTCCTCAGTGCAAATAAGCCTCATTTCAGAGCAGTTAATAGCAACATTATAGGGATAAATCACAATGTTTTTTCCCTTGTTGAGAAATGAATATAGACTTCAAGAAGACCAGGCTTGATGCCTCCCACCTACTTGTTAATTGAGTAATTTGATGGGTCAGTACTGACCACTTATCACTTCCTGAGTCTCATTTTGAGAGTTGACACAGGCATGTGAGAGACAAAAATCATATCAAAAGCCAGTGATATTCTCTAGTAGTCAGGCAAAAAACTGACACGGCACAACGAAATTTGATTTCCACTGAGAAGAAAGCCTGTTATGCATATTCATGTGTCCATGAAGTAGGTGAATAGAGCTAGAAGGATAACCAGTATGACTTGGGGTAGATGAATTACTCACAAGAGAAGAGAATCCTGAAATGAGTTAGAAATCTTGCTGTCTCATTGCTCCGTACCAGCTGCCAATGTTAAAGAAGAAAATTATATGCAGACTTTCAGAAGTGTTGCCATTCATTGAATATTACAATTAAGTGCCTTATGTTTCTTGAATTATCTTAGTTGGTGGGATCTAGAATGGCTTTGTAAAATTTTCAAAAGTAATGAAAAATCTAGATATTAGAAATACAGTTTTTCTATACTGCAAAGCCTCATTTTAGTAATATTAGGCCTTTCTAGGGTTAGAATGCAGTGTTACAGATCCCATTGTGCAGATCTGAGGTCAATCCTGCAAACCTACTTAGTCATTTAGCTCCACAAAATTTTAGACACTGAAGAAAATAATTGTAATCTATTTACTCGTCTTCAGAGAGAAGGAATACTACTGCTGAGAGGGGAAACATTTGCTGTCTGTCAAACTGAATTTTGGAAAAGGGGAGAAGGTTAAAGAAAGAGCATGGAAGAGATGCATGATGTAAGTTTTCCACAAGTGTCATTGAAATTTTATATAGGATGTGTATGTGTATATTTATAGAGTACAAATACTTAATCAGTGTTGAATTCTTTTTTGAACAGGAGAGGTTAGTTGTAGAGACAAATATTGTCTCTGCCCCTGAAATTTTTATGACTCCTTGTAATTACTGATCTGGGGAATAATTTCAAGAAGGAAATTAAAACACAGAGAAAATTGCAAAAATGTGGGTCTTCAGCATTTTGCTCTTCACACTACATACAGCAATATAATTTCTTATACATAAAAATCTAGCATTAAATGATTTAAAATGTACATAAACTGTTTTTTTTTAATAGTGCTGAGGAGTCTTTGCAGCCTAATGCAGACAATAACCACAAGAGATGACTCATCCCTCTCACACTTGTATTGGTTTTTGTTTCTCGTTACTGTGCTGTCATGAGCTTAGTGTGGTGTGATCAAAGAGCCAGTGTTTTAAAAACCTTTTCCTGTGGTTAGGGATTGGTGGGGTAGACATTTGGGGGAAAATAAACACCAGCGAGTAAAAGAGTAAATTACTGTATAAGGGGGTTCTGGAGTGGGAAAGCATATGTGACAAATTCTGCTGCTAGCAACTTCTGGCAAAAACAAAGGCAAAAAAAGCAAAACCACCATGTTTTATACCAAACAGTGGTTCAACTTAAACAAAATATAGTGGAGTCTATTCTCAGTTCTAGCTGACTGCATGCATGGAAGTTTGAAAAAGCCAATGAAATGTGGCTTTTACCTAGTTTAGTGTGTCTAGTGTTTTGAACCTACCCAGGATAAATTAAGCCCTTCAAGCCTCCTCTAGACTGTGTAGAGGCAAATTTAATGAGAATGTGAAAGGCTTAGGCCTTAGAAGAAGGCCTAAGTTTTGCATTAGGCCTGGTGTTTGGCATTACTGATTTGTGTGTGATGAATCTTCAAACACAGGATGTCAAGAGAAGACCTAAAATGAGCTTAGAAGTGGTTACCACCATGAAGCTGTCCACAGCTTTGGAGCAGGAATTGAAGCTTCATATTACTGGCTGCTGTCATGATTACTGTAAGTTAATTCTTCCAGTGTGTTGCTTTTTCTGCAGATTATGAATTCTTCTGTATGTGTCAAGAAAGATGGTGACGTGTCCCCTTCACATGAAATGGAATCACTGCAGGACATAACTTTCATACAGCTTCCTTCAGCCATAGATCTCAACACAACTTTCAAATCAAGCAGATCTACCTCCACTTAAAATTAAGTTAAATGTTTCAGCAATCAGCTTTGTCCATCTAGTAGCCAGTAACCACAGAAGCAGTTTAACTGAGTGGACTTTATCTTGTTTTGGAAGACAGCAGAGACATTGTTTGTGGTTTGGGTGATGCATTCTAAATTTTCATTTATTTCTTTGTTGGTGAACAGACAAGAAATAAACACTCACAAGTTACACACAAACACATGTAAATCTCATGTCTGAAGATTCTGAGCACTTCCCAAGATCTAACAATCTTCTTTATGTGTATGTGCTTATAACTGCTCCTGGGAAGATTTTTTCAACATACCTTTGAGAATTTTTGTGTATATCTATGAACAGAGCAAAGATTTGTTGTATGATATAAAATGATAATGCACAAGACTGACAACATTAACAACAGTGGTTTATGGAAACAATTTCTGCTACAACAGTCAGGTCTGTAATTAAACAGGCTGATGGATTCAACTGTTCTCCAGAGAGATTTTAGTTACCAAAATATGATACCAGACCTTGGATTATGGTAGCACACTCTGTGCTTCAGGGGTCATGCAAAATGAGAATGTCCTGGTTTGGTATTAAATGTTGTACACCATCTGCTGCTGACCTACATGACATAACAGAGTGTTCTGAAGCTAATTATTACAGTAATTTGTTTTGCAAGTGCAATGTGCCCAGCATCAGGGACAATGGGAGCAGTACTCCCATCATACATTTACTGAGCAAGCCCTGAAGATGAGGAGCAAAGCTTCCTTAATAACTTTTTCCTATTTTTCCTACCATCTGCAGGGTAAATGTTATCATTAACTCAAAGATGGTGGACAAACTGTACCATATAGACCCTACGTCTTTCTCAGTCACAAGAATCATCTTGGAACAAGGGTGTTTTTGGATCTGTATCTGTTGGAGAAGGAGACTCATTTCTGGTAGAAGAAATTAGGGTGAGTGAAGTGGCAATGTAAAATGCAGGGTGACAGATTAAAAAATTCTAGTGGGTAAACAGATGCTGCCGTGCAAACATTCACGTTTGAGGAGACTAGACTTACAAGGACCTCGGCTTGTCAGAGATACTCTTCTTCATGTAAGTGGAATGGTTGCCAGTAAAGGTTTCATAGAAGAATTCTCTGGATGTTTTTCCACAGTCTCTCTCTCTCCCAAACCGTATTTCCTCTTACCCCAGCTTATTATCTACTCTTTTTTTTCAGTAATTTTTAGTAGCTTTGTTAGAGCTAAACATGCTGGGCTGGAGCCTTGCGAATCTCACTGCTATCACTGTAGGACCTGCTGCACACATCTGGAATGGATGAACTTTTCAAGCCATTGAAAGCATTGATTTGAATTCCAGTTCCAAATGTTTCATGTCCAGCTTGAATAAAAAAGGAATATGCCTTGCAATTTGCACCAGTGATGGAGAAGTGCAAGTACTAGATAACTTAATTTTTTCTGTCATTCTCCATTTTTAGCTAAAGTGGCTAAACTATTTGATACTGATTTTTTTTTTTTTTTCTTATGGAAACAAATGGAAAAGATTGACTAAACTATATAAGAACTCTGCTGAAAACATATGTAGCACTTCCCAGTATCATATTCCACCTTACCGGATATCCAGACCTAGTGACATCCAGAACTAGCTATGTGTAATGGAGTTTCTGAAACCAAAAAGCTGATGATGGAATTAATGAATCAGTATTCCAGTGACAATCAGATTATTTTTCCACCTGTAAAAGGAACTATCACTAAATTATTTTATTCAGCATGGACTATGTTTTTATTTTATGTATTTTGCTAAGATCACTCTAGCAGTGAACGTCTTTAGAGTTCAGTTCAAAATTCTTCTTATAGGTTCATGTTTGAGAATTTGATTTCATTCTGATTATACACATATATCTGAGCCCGCTGTTATGGGACACCACTACTAACAAGAGGATTTTGTGTGAGTTTAGCTGAGGTGCTAGATAATAACTATCCCTACCTGCTGCAGTCATGAGTCAGCAATCTGAAGGTACTGAAGTACTGTGTTTCCATGTATGAACTCATAGAAACTGTAAATTTAGACATTTACATAGACATGTAAATAAATAGCTTTAAGTTCACAGGTGTGTACTTCCCTTCAGTCTGACTTCTGCACCACTGATATATGTGTTGAAATTTGGAAGTACTCATTGTCTTACTTGTGAAATAAATGAGCTTGAAGTTTTCCTTATGTCAATTCAGAACTGAGGAGCGGCCAAATTGCAAACAAATGAAGGGAACAAATTTTTCTTTCTTCTTGATGTCAAATTTTTATTTCTTGTTTGTTTTGGATTGTCAGTTGTGGAACATTGAAACCAAAAAGAGGCTGAGAAATATGTTTGGCCACCTGTTTGTAATTGGAGCTGGAATCATTGTATTCTGAGCAGGTGAGTAGTAAAGTCTGTTCCCATAAAGTCTTGCTGCTTTTACTCAGGCAAAAGTCCCATTCATTTTAGCTGATTTTCTTGGCTTTGTTCAAATGTGATTTACCTGTTCCCCCACCTCTTGTCCATCTCAGAAATCATTTGTAGATTTATTGTATGTCAGGAAAGCAGCCAGAGAGGATTGAACCTGTTTCTGCAGTCTCTGTTTCTTATTCTCCTTCCAAAAAACTGTCACCACATGCAGAATTTCACTATGATTTGGAGACTGTGACTCTGGTTTTGTGCAAAGCCTGAGCTTGAAACTCTTTTGTCTCCAGTGGGCCTGAACTTCAAAAATCATGGCCTGCCCTGTACTGGGGAGACAGTGTATAACTTAGATGGCCCCTCCACCGATACCAAGACTCATCTGTCTTTTCAAATGCACAGCAAAGCACAGCTGTTAACAGTTGCACACCTGTCTAGCTGTGTATGTGCAAAGAAAGGCCAGCTCATTGCTCTCTACAACCCAAGAAGGGATGTAGTGGTTGACTTTTGCATTGTCAAGAGTGTATTTTATAATAGCAGTGGAATAGGTGAATACTTTGTATTTAGGTATTGTTTCAGTATGGAGGCTCAGATGACAAAGATCAAATGCACTCCTGTGTTTTTTTTTCACCTCACTTTCTGTTTCAGGTCTTTGACATGAAGGGGCTGAACTTTAAAATCGTATGTTAGTGTTCTGTTTTACTTAAATGGAAAGATAATAACAAGGGTAGACTAACTATCGTTAACCCAAAACAAAACTATTATCTCCTGATAAGAGCAGCAGTGGCAGATTTATTTTTGGATTCACAAGATGCTCTGGTTGTGATTGCATGAGGTCTGCATGGTAGAGGTACAAGGAAGTACAGGCAAACCAGCTGAACAAACAGTTAATAAAATGCAGTTGCAATTATACTGTGTGGGTTAGGTTACAAGGATGCAGGTGTAATATCCTGCCAGTGCCAAGTGGCATAACCTCACTACAGTAAGAAATAGTTTTGGTTCGCATTTCCTCTTGGTCAAAGCAGTGGAAACAACAGGAACTTTAGAGCAGAAATTGGTGATAAAATTCAGTGTGAACATGCGAACTACAGTTATGATTGATACGTTAGGTTGAGGTAACATTTATTTCTTTTTCTACATTTGAAACTAACCAGATAATTCTAATATTAGGGCAGAGTTTAAATAACTGCACAAGGAGAAAAAAAAGGCATAGGGTTAATATTGTTGAGTCAATGAGTTATTCTAGAGTTAAAATTAGAGCAGTGTTCTTACACTAAACTTCACTATGGAAGTTTCCAAAGTATCAATTGGCTTTGGGATGGCATTGTAATTGTTGTGGTTAAAAATAGTCCAACAGCACATCATCATGAATCTGTAAATAAATTTCATTACCATCAAGTCCATTATACAAGCACACAGCAATTGCTTGTATAATAATGTTTCTTGCAATAAGTCAGGTTTGTATATGCATTTTTAGTGCTTCCAAATAATTCAACATGTATCTGAAAAATCTTTGAAAGCCATCATGGGAAGGTCTCCAGTTATGAACCCTTGTTAAAATAATGAAAACCTTTAAATAAAACTGTTGCAGTAATGACTCATATCTGTTTCTCAGGTACCCAGAAGGATTGTACTGAGCTTGCTGATTTTATTTTGGTGTTGTACTAGTTGCAGGTGTGAAATTTCCAGCAGGAAGCTCTTCTGATTTGTCATAGGATTAATGTAAGCAATATCCATAAAAAAAGGTAAAGTACATTGCAAGGTCTTTTCAGTATTTTCAGTTCAACTCCCCTATTAATGTCTAGAAGCCATATCTAGGAGCTTAACTTGAACAGTAGCTGTGCTTCAGGCAGGGTATTCCTCCCTGCCTTTGGTAGACTGATGGTAGTGGCTGTAGAAGAGTGAATCCATTTCCCAACACGCAGCTGGTACCACAGTGTCAGGCCGTGCAGATTTTCCTAAAGCCTTGGAGTGGGAGGAAGAAATGAGGCAAGCAAAAGGACAGAACTGAAGAATACATGATAACTTGCTAGAAAGCCCTTTAGCAGTACAATGCAGTTTTACACCGCCTCTCTGCTGGGTGTGGAGTCATACCTGGCTTTGGCAAAAAAATCACCTTGTGAGAGGATTTTTCATGAAGAACAGGAAATAGTTTATATCAAATGGCTCAGCAGCTGAGCAGAGTGTAGATTAGTGGCATACACTGCTCTCATGATAAAAAATGGTATTCTGCCCAGCTTGAATGGAGCAGCTGCTTGGCTCCTTCTTGTTATCAGTCACCTCCACAGTCAGGGTGTGCATTTCATAGTTGTTCTGTGTGTCTTCTTACTGAAATGCTGTTGTTCTGCTGACACGGCTCACTCTGATGTGGTTTGCTTCTGAAGAAACATTGGTGTGATGAAGCTGCTTTTACACTAAACCCATGCTGCCTTTTCTTGTCTGCAGTGGTTCACTATTAGGATCTATCCATCACTGCGATGTTCAGCACAGTGTTGGCATTCTTTGTCCAAAAACACCAAGCATTTGCTGCCTGAAATTGTCACTAGCCAGCCTGTTGCTGGCAATCTGGTCTAGGGGTGGGGTATTGAATATCTGGCCTAGCAAGCCTGGTGTGAAACTGCAGTCACAGACAGTGCAAACCATACTTCCTGCCATAGCAGTTAAAGTATATGAAGAAGTCATATTGCTCAGGCAATTTTTCAAATTATCTTATTGATGTCTATTAGTTTCTTCTGTCTGTGATGCAATTAATTTTAAGACCTTCCTGGATAAGTTTGCTAAGGCTTTTATACTGGATTACTAGGCCTCTGTAAATATACTTCCAAATAGAAATAGCATCTGTCATGTTTTCTTCTATCTATGTACCTTCACAAAAAAGTTTGCTGGTGTAGTACTTTAAAGTTTGCAAACAAGTTAGTTGGATTTTTTGAGTCTTGAAAACTACTTCCGCTGCAATTAGTTTGATATATGAGGTTCCTTTTGCCCTCCTCCCTGTATTTTCTTGCTATTGTTGATGACAAATAACATGAAGAAGGAAATTTTAAATGAAACAATTTAAGATTTTTTTATCTTTATGTCTGTGTAGGACCCAGGTCAGGTAATAGTAGTAAGAGGCAGGAGAGTCCAGCATTTACAAGCTGTTTGTCCTCCTAAAAGTATCTGGGGCTGGACTGTAGTGCTGGGGTTAAAGGCTCAGGGATGTTTATTGAAATGGGTGGAATTGAGTTCTGAGAAGCTTTTCTTCGTGTAGATTCTGGGCCTTGGCATATCCTGGAAACATCCCTGGAGAAACTGGGTCTCTTGTAAGTCCTGTAGGCCACTTTGTTTAGACTACTGTGATGACTTGGCTTAGGCAGTAAGACTCTGTCCTGCTTGGTTCTTTTGGTACTGAGGTGTGAGTCTGTGGCATTTGAAGGGAAAGCAGAGAAGCTGGAGTTTTATGATGGTGTGTGGGACAGTGTAGGCTACGAAACAAGGGCAAGGAGAACAACATTTGAAGTTTTGGAATCCTACACTACACTGAGTGTTCATTCCGGGTGCTTGTTGTAGCTCTTTTTGACAACTAGAATTCAAGCTAAAACTCCTCTGTTCTTCCAGCTAACCTCTGAATCTGTTCTGGCATCTGTTTTCTTTTTATTTTTTAGTCTGTGACATGGTGTCCTTGGCAGACAAAAGTCCTTGCTACAGGAGGCGGAATGAAAGATGGGATTTTGCATGTCTGGCACATGAATTGTGAGAAAATCACCCAAAGTGCAATTGCAGATTCACAGGTGAAATGATGAAATGTCTGCATACTTAGGCTATGCTCTTTTTGTATAGCTGTGCTCATTTGGCAAACTCCCACTGACTTTGAGGGTGGTTCTGCAGTAAGAGGAGCAGCAGGATTTTCTCTGAATGTGCAGTTGTGCTACATCGAGCACTACAGTGTGTGATTGACTCAGAGCAGTTTGTTGTTTCTCATTCACCACTTCTGTCTCCACGCAGAAGTGATTGAAGAGGAGATAGTCTTGAAGCCAGACACTTTCCATATTATTTCTTTGTTGGCAATGATAGTTTTGGACAAAACTCTAAATGTGGAGAGAATGGTGAAGGGGATGGGTTTTGAGGGCTTTGGTGTTATACTAACAGGCTGTTACAATGTCTGGATAGGACAAAAAAACAACTTCACTTTGAAGAGTTGCAAACAATTAAATGATCCCTCTAAATAAATAAATACTCTGCTGAGACTATTTCTCAGTAGCTTGTTTAAACATTGTAGATTAAATTTCAAATCTCTGAATGGCATATGTTAAGCCCTTCTGAAAACTGAAGCAGGATTTTAAACTGCAGTGGATTTCTTCCTTGCTCTGGTTACCCAGCCAACTGATGACAGGACAAGGCCTTCCTGAAAATCAGATGAAAATCTGAAAGTATCCCATGCTTGTCAATTCATTAGAACTCTATGTCAAGTATTTCAGTTATTTATCTGCCAATTGAGTCTCGTTTGCAAGTGCATACCTTATGCAAAAGAAGAGTAAAGAGCAGTCACTTACATTTGTGCTCATGTGCACAATCCGGATTCATGGAATTGTAAAGGTTGACTTATTATGTCTGTGGTATAAGTTACTTCTGAGAAATTCCTTGTTTTTAATGATGAGATTCTTTCCTATAATTCCTAAGCCATGCCAGGTGCAGGATGTGTATTTCCATTTCTTTCTAAGGCTGACTAGGCCAGGATTAAATGTGCTAATGTCAGGTTGCTTCCAGTGTTTTCTAGCTGATGACCTTCTAGACAGCACAAACCAAATGTGACTGCTTTTGCATCTTATGATGTGAGGATACTGAACCAGCTTTCAAAGGACGTCTGAAAAAAATTTCCATGTGTTATTTAGACATGTCAGTGTTTGGAGGATTTTATTGTGAATAAATGTGGTTCAGAGTGTTTCCCTTGCACCCTGCTGTCTGCCAGAGAAAGTGGAGTTTTCTAACAGCTCTGTGTTGTTCTGTGGTGCTGCAGGACTACACCATATGCAGAGGCTGTTAATTGCTATTAAGCCTCCATGTCTCTGGTGCCATTCATGAACAAAAAAGACCAGATCATTGCTACACAGACATATTCCTGCTTATGAAGACTCCTAATAATTTACTATAAGCAACTGAATGGTGGAAAAAAAATGTGGATGTATCAAAATACAGTCAGAATAAATACTGGATGATTGTGACTTAGATGTTTCTAAGTCAACCTCAGACACTTTTAACCACATAAGGTTTACACCCACAGAAATGATCTGACAAATTTTTAAGCCTCATGCATGCTGAAGACCTCAGCTGGGACTGAAGACCATCAGCACCAGCTGACCACTTTAGTAATAAAGGTTGACTGTCACTTAGCATACTGAGAACAGAATGACAACTGAAAGATAATAACCTTTTTATATCACTGAGTCTGTTTTTGAGATATTTCTGATAGAGATATTAGACTAATTTACTAGAAAAAAAAGAAAAGAATAATTTTGGCTGTAATGCCCTCTCCTTAGAAAAGTTTTTTTTGTAGATCAATGAAGACATACAGGCAAGCAAAATCTGTAATTGTTTTGAAAGTTACCTGACCTGAACATGATCTTGAAACAATGAAATAAACTCAGAAAACTGCAGTCAAAACACATGTAAATGAATAGTTTCAACTTCAGTCAATAATTTCAGCTGATTTCTTCCTATTGTCCTCCATTGCTTTTTGACTTAATCAAATTTCAATCAGTGTTGTCGATAGTTTCAGATTCCTCCAGTGATTACAGCTCAAGATCCTCCTTCAGAGTCATTATAGACACTGAACTGACACAACATAAATAATCCACTGAGTTGAAAACTCTTGGTCATAGATATTGACAAAGATACTGTACATTTCAGTAACTTGAGAAGGGGCAAAACCAGAAAATTAATATCTGATGAAATAATTTAGTGGTGCTGAAATTCAAGTTACAATGTTTAGGAGGAGCACATGTAGCTCAGCACCAGGACAGCAGGTATTTGCATTTAGTCATAATGTTTCCAGAGAGCCACTGTATCAGCTTCTCAAATTACAGACAGACTTTCCATTGCCAGGAGTCCTGTGGGCCTTCATCAGGTATCACAGCTTCAGAGGGCTTTACAGTTCCTCACATGTTTATCCTCATAGTATCTTGAGCTAGAGAAGTGTCATTCTCTTGTATTCATGGAAAACTCAGGTACAAGTGATAGGACGACACAGGTCACTCACATTAATTTAAGCTGGTCACATGTGGCTACTTACTCTCATGTTTCCTTTTAGGATGTGGTTTATCTGATCTTTTTAGAAACTCTTACTCAGAGGATTTTTTCCCTTTTGGGGGTTTAGCTTATCAGTGTGATTGTCAGTAACTCATCCAGCCACAAAAGATGAAGTCCAGTAACTTCAAGGAGAAAGACTTCACATTTCTCTTGCTGCCATGTGCCTATAAACCTCATTTTTCCTGGCATTGACATAGCTCTAGAAAATGGAGGAAGTCTATGCAGAGCAGTGAGGTAAATGCAGTTCTCAAGAGTCCCAGTTTAGTTCCAGACTCTTTCTACCTTCAGCTCAAATTCAGTGACTGCTTCTGTGTGAAACTTTTGCACAACCACATTAATGAGTTTTGGACATTCTTTGTGCTGCTAGACTGGGTAGCTTTCTGTGTGTACCTCCCAGTATTTGCTACAATTGCAGACAAACTCAAAACACAATTCCAATAAATGGCTTAGTGGAGTCACT